GCAGTTCTGGAAGTTCTCTTTCTTGGTTGTCTTCACCAAGTGTGATCAAAAATACGATGGCTGCTCTTGCTAAGCATCGTCTAACAGAAAGGTGGCCTTGTAAAAACCGTGTGACTGATAAAAAAGAGGTGGTATTTTTATACAGTGGAGTATTAGTCAGCTATAAAGAAAGATAAACTCAAGGCTTTTGTAGGTAAATGGGTGCAACTAGAGACCATACTCATAAGTGAAATAAATCAGACCCACGTGTGTAAACATCATGTTGGCTCCCTAGGGTGAGAACCTGAAAGAGTAAATAAAACCCAAAAGGTACAATAGATAATATGAAAAGGAAATTGCTCAAAGGAAGGAACAACTGGGATGAGGGAAAGAAGAAAAATAAATAAATAAATAAATAAATAAATAAATGTAGAGAGATAGCTAGCTGGGATAACTGTACTGCTGATCTCTGGTGGTTTATTGAAAGGAACAATCAATGCTTACATTTTTTTTTATTTTGACCAATTTTGCATGATTATATCTGGTAATCTGAGCAACTGAGGACAACAATACGCAATATAAAAACCATTGGTGATGGGCTGGGAATTTAGCTCAGCGGCACAGGCCCTGCCTGGCAAGCACAACGTAGTGAGTTCGATTCCCAGTACCGGAAAAAAACAAACAAAACAAAACAGAAAAAAACACTGGTGAATTTCTACCATCTTGTCTAATGAAACTCTGTATCATCTCTAATGTTTTTTTAATTATTAATTTTTTATTCTCTTTAATGGTTTTATCAATCTTGCATTCTTACATCTGGTAATCTGAGCAACTTCACTGAAAATAACAGTATGTAATATAACAACCACTGTTAGTTCCTATCATTTTGTTTTGAAACCCTGTATCATTTTTAGTGTTTTTGCTTTATTTTGTTATTGTCTGTGATGTGGGTATTTTGCTTTTCCTTTTTTTCACTCTTCTCTTTAAAATAAAAAAGGAGGATAGGGGCTGGGGACATAGCTCAGCGGCACAAGCGCCTGCCTGGCAAGGGCAAGGTCCTGAGTTTGATTCCTGGTACCAGAAAAAAAAACAAAAAACAAAAAGGAGAAAAAACCATTTGACTGCTGGCTCTTCCCCAAAGTCAAAACGACCATAGAAGGTGAACATTTCAAATTGATGCAGGACACTGAGGCAGCCATCACAGACCCATTAAAGTCAGCCAGGAGAGAGGACTTTTAGAACTGCTTCAGAAAATGGCAAGAACAAAGGGATAGGTATATCTGAAGCAAGAAGGAGCCCTTGAAGGAGATTAATGCCAATGTGCCTTTCATCGTAATGCATTTTAAATATAAAAACCCTCACCCTATGTTTTGATCACACCACCTAGCTCCTTTTCAACTGTGCTAGCATCTGATGGAGTAGACAGCACCCAGGATACCTCCTTGATTCTTTGGGCCTAAGTAGTTCACACAACTCACTTTGATACTCCATCTAGATACTAAAGGGGACAGATATTGTTCCTATACTTTTAATGCCTCATAAAGTCAGGAAAGGGTTCACTTCTTAGCCATGAAATGAGGGCATCTTCTTCTGATTGGAACTTAGCTTCCCACAAAGTTATATCCAAATGTCAGGTGAGGGGTCCAAGTTCCCTATAGTCTCAGGATTCCAAATAATCATGTATGTTCTCAAAGGTTGTTTCTATTGTCCTTGAGAATCTTTAATTTCCACAAAAAGCAATCTGAGGGTTTTTATTTTTAAGACATGTTACAGTAAAAGACACATAGGGACAAAGTTGTTCATTACGTTGTTTGGGCAGCATTGATTACCAGCAGCCTGCAGCACCATCAGTGTCCTCGGTCCTTCCAAATGTAGACTGCAGCTTCTTTTATGATTCTCTCTCGTGCAAGCGCGACTGCAGGCCTGGACCTGTTTCCTCTTTACAGAGGAAAATGTCAGGGGAGCTGGAGGCAAACCAGCCTCACTTTCTCCTCGGGAGAGTCAGGATCTTTTACTGTGAGTCACAAGCACAGCGGGGCCTCACTGAAAGGACTTTCTGGCCTCGAGGCGCTGGACTGTCCAGCCTTAGAGCCCTTTAGGGCCGGATGAGTATGGATCCAGCCGCTCCTGTCCCAGCCCTCCCACAGAGATCCTCAGAGCTCCACGAAACATCCACCCAACCCATCATCATTCAGAAATAGTCACAGTTTGAATCAATTCAAATTTGGAAATGATTCCAGAGTCGTTTGGATTTGGACAAGGAACTTATTAACTGAAAATCCAAACTGGTTCAAATATTGGACCAATTATAGTCTGATACAAGCTACACACTAAAATGGTTTCAGATTTCAGACACTGAGCAGATCCAACTGACTAAATGTATTAAAGATTGTCAAAGTCTTTGGGGAATCACAGCGAGGCATTTCTTACCCGTGTCCCCAGCTCCTCTCCCCACGCTCCCATTCCTGTCTCTCACAGGGCTTGGGTATGGTTGTGACATCTGATCATCTCTGGGACACTCTGGAACTGGGATTTAGGCCGATTGGGTCCACTCCCCAGGACACCAACCACATCCTGACATTAATAAGGCACAAGGAGCTCCCCCAAATTTATTGTCTTTCATAAGCATCTCTTACTGGAAGGAACCACATTGCAATTTGTCTTTCCTTAAATATTTGTGCACTCTCAGCGGCTAAAAGAATTCCAGAACTTTAAAGACTACATGGGTCAAAGAAATTCAGGGTCTTGCCCACTGGTAAGTGAGCCACTCCAAGAAACCCTGTGTTTTTTGAGGTGCACGGCTAGGGGAGGAGCTGACTGGCCTACCTGACACCTAGGTCTTTCTCCTTTTAATCTTCTTTTCCTGCAGTGTTGTACTCTTGGCTTAGAAGACCCTTAAGGTAGACCAGGTTCATATTCCGAGGGAGAAGTTTGGTAAGGAAAGAGCCATGCTGAGGCAGAGAATTTGCAAAGCAATGAAGTAAATGACGGACATCTAAGGGTGGTGTTCCTCAGACTTGGTCGGCATCCAACTCACTGAGCCTCAGCAGCTTTGCAAGGAGTGCTAGCATGTGTGTTCTTCAAGCTTCTCCTCAGTGATTCTGGGATATCTGTATGAAAAACTGGAAAGTGCTGCTCTGAGGCACATTCCATCCCCTTTCTTAGCTCTCTCCGATTATGTCTGCTCACCCATCACCACCACATCCTCAGGGCTGCCTTGGGATTTTCCAGGTTCTTCAGAGTAGACCTCCTTATAGCCTTCCCCAGAATCCAGAATCAACCTCTCCTCCTCTCCTCTCCTCTCCTCTCCTCTGCTCTCGTCTCTCCTCTGCTCTCCTCTCCTCCCCTCTCCTCCTCTCCCCTCTCTTCTCTCCTCTCCTCTGCTCTCCTCTCCTCCCCTCTCCTCTCTCCTCTCCTCTGCTCTCCTCTCTTCTCCCATCCTTCTCTCCCCTACTCCTATCCCCTCCTCTCCCTCTCCCTCTGCTTCTCTCACCCTCCCCTTCTTTCCCCTCTCTCTCTCATCACTACCTCCACACGTGCTCACTGATCTCAACCCTACTAAGCACAAACCAATGAGGTTATACTAAAGTTTAACCGAACCCTCAGTAAGCTTAATGAGCCAATTCTTCCAGGAACCATTGCATTTTGAAAGAGAGTACAAAGTTCAGGGGCACAAACAGCGGGATGAGGGCAGCTTTCTTTAAGAACTGTTCAGACTGCGTGGAGGACGTGTACTCCATCTCTCCGCAGCACTCACCTTCCAGACAGACAAGTGGAACCCCGGTCACTCACATTCCCCAGAGCCAGAGCTGGCTGCCTATCGCAGCGTGGAAAGTGGAGAGGCAGCCGTGCTGCTGCCCTGGGAGAAGATGTCACCCGCTGCGGCTGTCTCAGGGTGCTCTGTCCAGGGGTCATGGCCTGTGCAGCTGCCCTGACCACCCCAAAGCAGTGACTCAGTGTCCCATGGGCCTGTTCAAGCTCCAAGCCTTGGGAAACCTAGCACAGAAAGGGTTTGAAAACCTTTTTTGGGACCACTCTGTAAGGAACTGGGAGAATCTAATAATTTATTCAACTGAAAGGGAAATGCTGCATTCTTTGGAATGTTAACAGGGTATGTTTACATCACTGGTTAAATCCTTTCTTGCTCTTTGTAGTCTAACAGGAAAAGAAAAAGAAAAAAGCTGAAAGAATTCTTGAAAAAGGAAAGGCAAGGAGCAAACTGTATGTGGAGGGGTCTTCCATCCTAGGTGCTTCCGGCGGTGCCTGTTCTCCAAACGAGGAGCAGGAAGTGCGGTGTGTTCCTTCCTAACTCCCCTTCAGTGAAGGCTTCCAAGACCCTTCCTGCCAGTTGAGATCCTGGTCTCCTAGAAACTGGAGCGAGTCCGGGGCTGAGCTCACCCTGACCGCAGGAAATTCAACCCGTGCTAATGATAGGAGGTGCCTGGCAGCCAGAGTGAGAGGCCAGCCAGAGGTTGGAGAAGCCAAAGGGCCCGTGTCCTCCCACGGGCCTCCAGAGCCACCTCCTGCTGTCCTGAGTGTCACCTAACATGTCCCAGACAGCCAGAGCCTGTGGGACCTAAAGACAAGACTGAGTGGGAGGATGAGTCAGTGCGGTCCCCTCTTCCCACGCAGACCTATACCCTGCAGGTCTTCTCCTCACACCTGTCTCTGTTTGCGTTCATTTCGCTTTCAGCCTGTGGAGAGTTTCTGCAGGAAAACCAGCTTGAGGCTGTTCAGCTCTCAGGACTAACTGCAGCTGATTGCGTTTTGTCTAAGTCCCCTAAACTTCACTAGGCATCGGAAGTCTTTTGTGATTCTTAGGTCTTCCTCATGCTATTATATTGGAATCTCTGAACTGGCGTGTGGTGCCTGTCTACATATAGTCTCAGCACTTGGGAGGCTGAGGCAGGAGGATCACTTGAGCTCAAGACCATGAGTTCAAGACCAGCTTTGCAACACAGTGAGAACTTCTCTCAAAATAAATAAATGAATAAATAAATCCATACATACATAGGGGTGGAGCCACATCCAGTGATGTATGTCTTTAATCCCAGCCTCTCAAGAGGCTCAGGTAGAAGGCCTCTATGTCACAGCCTAGCTCAAGCAACACACTGAGTCCCCCATCTCAGCAAAACCAAACCAAACCAGAATCTCCATGGTGGGGACCAGGTGCCAGGGTTGTTTGCAGTCCCCTGGGTTACTGTGGTGTGATGTCCCTGCTGGACAGCTTCTTACAGGTGGGTCACTACACAATTCCCATCTTTCTTGTTCCAGACTCGGAATTGGGTCTCCTGACTTTGAATCACTGATTGCCACTAAGCCTGCTGCCCAGCCGTACCCTAAGTCACCTGCTCCTTGTGGCTTTAGGATCCTCATCTACAAGGCAGTGGGAGGCGGTGGGGGAGATGATCCATCTGAACTCCCCAGCGTGTTCACTTTTGGAACTTGGGCAAAATCTGAATACGGAGTGTCAGGCTGGTTTCTTCCCACTGCATCCTCCTCCAGCTTTTAACACCCACGCCTTTCTGTCTGAAGTCTGGCACAGAAGCTAGGAAGACAGAAGGAGACAACATCCTTTTTAGCATAGTACCTGGGAGCCAGTTTTGCCGAGCTTAATTTTGACAGTCTAAAAGGCTATACAGTCTTTTTAATAACCATCCTGAAGCTAAGCTACAGATGAGTGCTTCTTTGGGGCTTATTATCTGTCTTTCTTCTTCTTAACAATATCCAGAGCCCTCCTTGCTCAGCCAGAGATAATTGGTTAAATTTGGCTGAGAGGCAAAGGGAACACTGGCAAAATATATAAACTACAGGGCCTGGGAGGAAAAAGAAAAAGAGGGTCCAAGGAAAAGAAGTTTCTCTGGTGATCGCATCAGGGAAGTCTACTGGGGGGAACAGGAGTAGGCACACCCAGAACAGAGTAAAAAGACCCACTGGGGACTGTTCACTGCTGTTTAGTGTTGCCGGGTATGGAAGTTAAAGGTCAGTTTGAGTATGAAACACTAACTGGATGGGATCAGCATAGTTCTTAGTGTGGCTGGAGGGATTCACTGAAGACAAACGACCCAGCCTGGGTGTGAGTGGCACCAGCCAATAGGTTTGTTGCTTGAAGAGGATAATAAAGGGAAACGAAGAAGGTTGTCTTGCTGTTTCTCTGGAGGAGCTCCAGTCTGCACCTTTGCCTTGGACGTGATCCCTTGGCTTCCAGTGCAGATGCTTCAGCTTCCTGGTACAGACTCGCATGGGACTCTAAAGTGAACTGGGCTTTCCACCTCTGACTGGATCCTTCAGATCTCCAGCATGGAGACAGCCTCTTTTGTAATCTTCCACCCTGACTGCAGCCAGCCATTGTAAGGCTACCTTGTATATCCTTAAATATTTTATGCTAAATCTGTTTGTTTGGTGAGCACTGCTGGTATACCTGGGTTGGAATGTCCCAGTCAAAGAGCCTTTTGCATGGTCTTCTGAAGACTGTGTAAATGTAGGAAGTCTCGAAGTCTTTCATACTGAAGGTACAACCCACCTATAAGCGCTAGGCTCCACAGGTGATTACTCCTCAGAGTGCGATGCACAGGTTTAGAGTGATGCTCAGGTGTCTGCACAATTTTAAATATTCACAGGGTAATCCTGATGCAGAGCTCAGGCTCAGATTTACTCTATAAAGTTAACCTTTTTCTTTCAATGTGTCCAACTTTTACCACTCTCCCTGTACCGCCAAGTTCTGCCCTGCCTGTCTGCGGAGAGGCACTTGTTCCTCAAGTCATACTCCCTGCGTCGGGGCTCTTGCTTAGACAGGCAGAATGCACCACGATTTCATCCCCTCGATGTCCCCTTGTCTGTGTAGTTTGTGACGGTCAACTTGCACCCCAAGGCCAAAGGAGGAAAAAAGTGCTTTGGCTTGGAAATGACAAACCTATGCTTTCATCACAATCTCTCTTTTCCCTGTCTGAACCTGGGTAAGTTAATCTCTTTGAACCTCAGCTTGACTGCATCTCTAAAAGGGAGGAAGATGCCTAATAAAGTAACTAAATCTGATGGCAAAAATAAATCTAGAAAACCAACTCCCAGACCTCATTTGACCTATGAGCGGCATTTGAACTTTCTGACTGAGGATTTTCTGTTTGTCTGAGTCACTTCTCCTGTTTGGCTTCTGAGACATTACTCTCTGTCCTTTTGCTGTGCTTTTTTTTTTTTTTTCTGAGCCTCCTTTACTTGATTATTTTTATCTTCCCCACATTCTAATCATTGGGTTGCCCAGGAATCAGTATAGCTTTCTTCTTACCTATCAATTCTTAAGCCTCTCGTCTAGTTCTATGAATTTATTTGTTTATTTGAGGGCAAAGTAAATTTTGGTGCTACAGTTTTGAAACACAAACTAAAGCAATACAATATTTAAAGTAATTATGACTCAACCATTCCTGTGAGCTTAAATATTATTTGTGCTGATGGCTTTCACATGTATATCTCCAGCCCTACCCTTTATCCTGAGGTTTAGACTTCTTGAAATTACCTACTCACCAACCTTGCTTAAATACAATATATGACAGTCATCTCAAACTCAATCTAGCCAAACTATACTCTTCAGTTTCTTACCCAAACTTGTTCCCACAACTTTCCCCAACTCAACAAACAGCACCTCCAGCTGTCCTGTTCTTCAAATCTAAAGCTTCTTTATCTCACTTCCCACATCCAATACATCATAAATCTGCTGGCTCTTCCTTAAGCTGCACCTCATCTTGTCTCCACCTCTGTTATCCTGCTAGGACCCTCACTATCTCTCCCTGTCACATTTGTCTTCTTCTCTTGCAATAAAGGCACTCCCTCCAACAACTTGTTCTGCCGCAGTTCTGTGCTCTGTATGAAATGGAAAGTCACTCCTCTAGTCAAAATTCTCCTACCCGCTCCATTTCACCGCTAATAAAATCACAAGGTCTTCCCAGGGTTTCCCAAGCAGGTTTACAGCACATGCTTCTAACTGTCTCTCTAACCTCTTAGATCATTCTGCATTTTTATCACTCCTTTCCAGACACCTTGGGCCTCAGCATGCCACACATGTTCCTGCCTGGGGCCTTTCAGTTGCCTAGCCTTCTTCCAGGAACACTTTCCTTCTATATATCTGTAGTTTGTCAGCTTACTTTGTTTGGTTATTTGCTCAAAATTTACCTTACCACAAAGTATTTCCTTGGTCTTATATATAAGACAGAATATACTACCTCAATTCCTACAAATACTTTCTCACCCAATTTAATTTTTCTTCATAAAATGTATCATTGATGAACATATTTATATATTTATTTGCTAATTTTTGGTTGACTGTCTCCTTTCATTTGATATTAACTGTATCCTTGATGTTTAGAACAGTATCTGGCACATACTATAGGACTAAATAAATATTTGTTAAATGAATGGATATATTCATTAAATGATTACGCACATAAAAGGATGTGAGTAATAGAATGCATGAGATAACCCATGAGAAAGGCTTGCTACATGCCTGACATTTATTTATTAGATATTCAGTAACTAGTCATTTCCTCTCCACTCCTAGCTTTTCTCTCTTCCCAAATATTTGTTGAATTCCTAGTGTAATCCATTCCGTCTGTTGGATGATGATGATAGGGAAGGTTGCAGCTACAAGGAGATCATATACTGGTCACTATATGTTAGCAAGAAACAGAGCTACAAAGAAATACACAAGACAACGTAGCTAAGAGTTACAAAAGAGACCGTGTGCTGTGAGAACAGACATGGCGGCAGTTATAAAAGGGGTCACAGAACAGTAATGTTTAAGCCAAGACCTGTGGATACAAGGAGCTTTCCAATTAGGAAGAGGAGGGGAGCTCCATTCAAAGTTCCATTCCTAGAGTTGCTAGGAAGACATAGAAACTTGAAAATCTTCTCCCCTAGCCCACAACCACGATGTCTTAGTACCTAGCTTAAAAGAAAGGATTATAGAGTGGAATGAAGATCAAGTATAGAAATCAGATCCTAATTATCAACATCACTGTCTGTCCCTTCACTTTGGCACAGAATAACATATTTTTTCAGAGCTCTTATATCTTCCATATTTCTTTTGGCTCCAATACCAGCAATCAGTCATCCCTTTATCATGCACCTGAGGAAACTGAGGCAAGAGGTTAAGCAGTTTGTGCAGGCCACACAGAAGGCCGGAGGGAGATCTACTCTAAGAACTCAGTGGTCCCATTGGGTTTAAGCTCCCTGCAGTATGGAAAACATTCACAGAACTGAAAACATTTACAGAATTGCTTTGTACATCTAAGCATTTCATGTTGCTATTTTCTTTTTCTTAAATTTACAGGTGTATGTTACTTTTTTCTTAATAGAGCCTTTCTAACTGTCATGAATGGAGAATCTATCCTACTATGCACTCCACTAGTTTTATCACATATTAATCCACAGATTTGCATAACTGTATGGTAGGTGGTGTTATTGTTATTACCTTTAAAAGTGAAAGAACTACCATTTGGTTAGATTATGAATGTCAGTTTGTCCAAATGTAAAGGCAGTGCCAGGTGTCAGAATCAGGTTAGTTTGACATCAGTGCCCTGTTCCTACACCCTTGTCACATTGCCTGAAGGAGATCTAGCCCGATGGCCAAGTCCATCTATTTTTGCTTTCTCTGAGCTATCTATAGGGCAGGATACAGCATTCTTGGCCTTGTCCATGTTATGCAGATTTGTTTGCTTGCTGGAAATTTCATCTTTCACTGTAATTTTATGTTTATATTTATCCATTTCTCTAACCAAGTTATACCACATGCATTCATGTGCTGTTTTTCTGCTTTAACTGTCACATAAGCATGGTCACATGAGTCACTCTCTTTTGCCCAATTATAACACTGTTAAATAGGAAAGAATGATCACCCATGGGAAAGTTATCCTCTTCAATATTAGTCCTTGTAGGAATGTGAACAAACTGTGAAAAAACTGCCTTTTTCAAGCATTTTGCTGACAGATCTTGTGTAATCCAATACTCATAAAGAGAAGATGAAACACTTCTTATTCTACATATATCCTTCCTTAGACAAGGAAAATATTAAAATCCTACATGTCATGGGTTTGTCTTCAAATAGGCCCCTTATGGTGAACCTCAACTGTACCTCCATTCTCTAGGAATTCCTTTTATGTGTGTGTGTTCATAACTTCTGGTCACTTGTCTTTCTCTTGCCTCTAAAGATACTAGCAGTCAATAGATTTGTTGATGCATCCACCAAAGCTATCCATGCTCCTATGAAGGGAGCACAACAAGGAGGTGCAGATATCAAGAACAACATGGAACTCAGCCCTTTCTATAGTGGTGATCATGCCATTGTTAGGGACCCTTATCAAGGACATCGTTCTGCGCAGAGTTAGCATCAAATTATGAATTTGACTATGGCTGTCTGCATTGGACATCATGAAAATCACACTGAATCCCAGACTCACCATGAGATGAACTGCTACACTCAATAATCTAGTGCTGTTAGGAATAGATCAAGTTTGCTACAAATGGATTTGTTCCTCTTTTTCCTTTTCTTTCTAGTAACTA